TTCATGTTTCTGCTACGTGATTGCTAGATTTCAATTCTTACCAAAAGACTTTTCACGTTCTTTACATTCAGTTGACTCTCTGAAAACACTTCATCTGCACCTAAAGCTTTCAGCTTCTCTTTTGCTTCGTCCGAGCCAGCCCTAAAATCAGTAACACAGGACATAATTTACTTGGCCAGAGCAGATTTAATTGTTTATGACCAAATATCTAAAAATCGATTCATAATATATACTACACCTGTCACGAATAATGTTAATGCTACTGATGCCACGGAGCCTTGCTAACTGGATAACACATTGACCCACGATACTTGTTGCGCCATTCTGTACTACAGAATCTCCTGTTTTAGAGGATTACTTGGTAAGGAAAAAGCAAGTAAGAAGCAATTGCAACACAGACGGAAGATACAGTCCGAACCAGAATTTAAGAGCACAAAGTCTTCAAGCATCCGTAGAGCCGTCAATGGATTAACAGTGATCGTCGCTGCATACTCCATTGGACAAGTTTTGTCAATTTTGTGCCACACACTCTCCTCCTTCACAACATACGTCTGCCAAGTCCCTTATTCCAGAGAGATTTCATCAGATTCCCATCAAGTTACCCAAATGAAAAGGGATACCACTAAATGGTTTTAAGTTATGCATCTTTTACCATAACAGCCTTCATCGGTTTATATACTGCCGCCAAATTTACAATTCTTCTTACTAATTGAGAATGGTCTGAATAGCATAGAGATTAAGAGTTTACCTGAAGATGGTGGAGATGGAATAACCCAATCACCTGGAGAAAGACCATTGACCTTGGAGCCAACTGCGTATACTTGCCCAACACCTTCATAACCACCAACCGCTGGTACCGGTGGCCTTACCGGGTACACACCTAAACAAATCGTCATTTTACCGACATTGAACTCGCTATCTAAATAATATTCATATCTAACACTTAGTTTTGAGAGAGAGAAAAAAGGAATGGATTCTTGACTCACAACAGTGGATGTTCTTGCTCCAGAGACTCATACTGAAATATACAAATTGCTCACTAAACAACTAACCAACTCATTAACTGAAAGACTAATCAAAACTGAGATATCTAACACTAACACACAATTTGTCCGGTTCTTGGTTCAGAAAACATCAAAAGTATACGAAACACAACAATTGTTCTTGAAATAATAAAACTTTATGAGCAATAACCTTCAATTCGATTGATATCAGAGGGATTGATCGGCGCGGCGATCATTTGAACGCATACATCGTTTTCTCTCACTTCAACTGGCGGGAGATCCACCACTCTGTCTTCACCAAAAGAGAAAAAGAGGTAAAAATGGAAATTACGTGAGAGTAACCGTATACCGGAGTCTCGATGCAATATACGAACCTGGTGACAGAATCGGGAGAGCCGTGCTGTTCGTAGACGATGGCCTTTGACGGTGGCGACATGAAGGTAGAGAACGATTTAACACGGAGTGATATTGCTCCACCACCACATCGGTTTAGCCTGAAATTCACCGCCGACGAAAACTTCAGAGCTCGAACGGCCACTGACTTCACCACCGCCATCTCTCTTCTCCGTCTCTCTCGCACACGCAGTGATATCCAAACCGACGCCGTTTTAGTCTTTTCTAGTAATTCTTAAAAAGTCTTGAGAAATCACGGATATTTCGAAACGGTGACGTTTTTCGAAACGACTAACACTTTTGTTTTTTGCACAATCCAATCAAATTAGGGATGGTAACCGGAAACCCAAACCGAGCCAAAATTATAAACGCAAAAGAATGTACATATATCGAAATTTGTATGTAAAGCGATTGGTTCCATTATCCGGAAGACCAAAAAACCAAAACTGAAGTAGAATGGGTATTGAAAATGTTATGAATAATCGATACTAATCGAGATGACATTAGAGCATGATTATCAATAGGTAATATAGTGAGTAAATAACAATTAAATTAATTTAATTAAATCAAAATTCATATTTACTATCCACTAAAGTTCTAAATATAGATTTTATATTTACAGTAAATATACA